AAAACAGAAAATCTGACTCTTTGGCTCGGGGTGAAAAAAAAAATTTTATTTCGACTTTTGTCGCGCCTTCGGGGGTTTCATTGGCATCAGAATTGTTAGAAAATACAGAATCAACTTGCACTTGACGAAAAAATTCAATTTTGGCTAAAATCGACTTTCACCCTTGACCCACGTGAAAATGAAAAATTTTTTTTCCCCTTTTCTGTCACCTCCGAGGGTTTCATTGGCATCAGGGGGTCAATAAATACAGAATCAACGTTCACTATTTTTTATTTAAACACCGCCTGCAAACGGGGAGATGAGGGTGGCTAAAATATATTCTGCAACCCTGTCTCCTCGTTGGCTACAAATTTCAACCCTCCGCATACATGCCTTCCCCTTCACCCGCTCGTAAAATAACGCGTTCTCGGTAGCATCGAGGAGGACTTCTCAGGACCGAAAAGAACTGAGGATTCGAAAGGTCTCTGGAAAAGTACGTCGCAGAACTGATTAGGACTTACCAGGTCCATCTAGGTCTGGAGAGATCTTGAAAGACCTGTGGACGTCCAATCAGAACCAAATCCTCGACTCGGGAATGGTTCTTCTGTCAGCTCAAACTTCTATATCGGGGAAAATTTTTTGGTTTGCAGTCAAATAGATTATTATTCATCATGATATTTGAATCCTGGCATTCTACTCGAAAGAATATGTATTCATATGCCACTGTCAGCTTTTCAAGTGGAAAGAATCAATTTTTCGCTGCAGAATATTTTCTCGTGGGGAATAGTAATCTTGAGACAAGAAAATTTTGTACAGGTGAACATTTATCTTTTCGGCAGAGCTAATTTCTTCTCTCAGTATATATATATATATTTATTCGCATATTCTCGTTTCTTTTTCTTCCAAATGGGAGCTTTATCCGAGCAAATTGGAACTCGTCCGATTATCACATTTTCTCATTTTAATTGGAAATCGTGTAGAATGGTCCAAAACGTAAAAATACGAAGTTTGGCGACCATGTCTACATGAGGTATTCCATGCCAAATGAGTCAACGGCTAACTCTCACCCTCTTGAAAATTATTCTCGATTTTTTCTACGTTTGGGGGGGCTAGAAAAACGATCTCTTAATTTTTTTCAGATTTTTTTGACAGCCATTTGCGGAGATAAGGTTTTTGCTTTGTTTTCCCTTTTTTTTTTTTTCGATAACTCGGGTTCTATTCAGTCGATTTTATTTTATTATGACCCAAAATTTTCCATTTTCTACCATCTATTTTCGGTAATTCTCTCAATTCCTAGGTGCTCATAATATCAAATTTTCAAAAAAAAAATTGAAAACTTGGATTTTCAAAATTATATCACCTTTTATTTTTCTCATCCCCTTTTCAGTAACTCTTATAATCAAAATAAGTATTTTGAGCTGTCATACAAGTTGGGTTTCGTCCTGGATCTATTTTATTTTTTATTTTTTCGTCACAAAATTCCGTGAATTTGGTCAAAACACTCCAAAACGACTTCCATTATGTATCAAAAAAGTATGTAACGTATAAGTATATATTTAAATTCACTTCATACTGTTATATTAAAAAATAATCAACGCCATTTTAGGGTATTTTGACCAAATTTATGAAATTTCGAGAAGAAAAAATTGAAAATAAAAGCGATCTAGTACGAAACCCAACTTTTACGACGGCTCAAAATACTTGTTTTAATTACAAGAGTTACTGAAAAAAAGACAAGAAAAATAAAACGTGACATAATTTTGAAAGCTCAAGTTTTTCACCTTTTTTTGAAAATTTGATATCAGGAGCACCTAGGCGTTGAATAAAAAATTATTAAAAATATACTTATAGATGGTAAAGAATCGAAAGTTTTGACGTGTCATAGATCAAAATCGGATGAATAGAACTGGAGTTATTGAAAAAAACGAAAATACAAAGAAATAGTATTTTTCCGGGCTGCTGTGATGGCCTTGGGCTCGGACGCCAACGCCACACGAGTAAAAAACCCCAAAACAAAATTCAAAAATTAACGTTGTGGGCATGATGAAGAGGCCCTTTAGACGATGAGAAAGCCATATAAGTCTCAATAAAATTAAATTTCTGAGGGTACAAAACCATACTAATAATCGGCGAAAACACCCATATGTTTTAATTGATCTAGGTAAAGGACATCGAGACGAATATTCTGAAAAAAACATGGGAAGCGGCCCACTAGTTTTTAAGATATTCGCGAACAGCTATTTAAAAACAAATCGCTTTGCCTTAAAAACTATTGGACCGATCGGGCTAAAATTTTGTACAAAGTTAGTCCACCTTAAGACCTATAATGTGACAAAATTTCAGATTTTTATGGATTATATTCTAGCCACTTAATTACTCAATACCAATTCCCAGACGAGAAGTCATGAGAAGCAGTACAGAAAAAATCATATCTTCGAAATGGGCTTTTAAAAAAATCTGAAAAAAATGAGAGATGGTTTTTCTGGTGAAAAACTAACTAAGAAGGTGAGGGGCAGCCGTTGACTCATTTGACATGGAATACCTCATATGTGAACATGGCCACCTTCGCGGTGGATTATTTCAAGAAAATTGAGTAATTAAGTGGCTAAGATAATTCATAAAAATCTGAAATTCTGTCACATTATAGGTCTTAAGGTGGACTAACTTTGTACAAAATTTTAGCCCGATCGGTTCAATGGTTTTTAAGGCAAAGCGATTTGTTTTTAAATAGCTGTTCGCGAATATCTTAAGAACTAGTAGGCCGCTTTCCATGTTTTTATTTTAGAATAGTCGTCTTGATATCCTTTTTTTTATCGTTATTTTACATCGCTTTGACCCGGTTAGGGTATGTGGACCGATCACGTGAGATGATGATCAAGACTAAATGGTTAGTAGTCCAGTGAAAGACGGTCTGAAATACATGGTTCTGCGAAATAGCCTGCTTTTTTGTGTAAAAATCAATTTTTGACTTATAATCAATATTCGAGGCTAATCAAGGTACTCACCCTCCGGTAAGGGGTGAAAAAAATTGAAAATTACCCCCAAAAAAGTGTTTTTCTGAAATAACTCGAGAAATACTCGAGCTACGATGTGAAGCATTAAGAACAAAATTGTAGAGCGCAAAATTCTCTACAAAAAAGGTCCTGACCACTTCACCCCTATTTCGCGTCGTTCATCCCCCAAAGCCGTTCAAAAACTCGGGGTGAGCAAAATTTAAAAAAACATTCAAAAACAATTTTTTTTTAATTTTCCCGTCTTATTGAATGTTTAGAAAGGTTCAAGCTTCAAGTCTCTTTTTTTTACCCCATTGGGAAGAAATTTTCACGGAATTACGACCTAAAATTTATTATAACTTTTTTTCCAATCGATGAATGCTGCTTCGCTATCTCAATGGTCGATCACTAGACTCTTTTTTTTATCATTATTTTACATCGCTTCGACCCGGTTAGGGTGTACTGTGATGATGATCAAGACTTTAAGTGGTTAGATCGCACCATTCTACCCGGCCGGGATTTGAACTCGGAACCTTTCGCATGTGAGGCAACGAACTTACCCACTGCGCCAAGCCACCGGGTCTTGATGTCCATTACCTAGATCATTTAAAACATATATGGGTGTTTTCCCCAATTATTAGTATGGTTTTGTACCCTCAAGAATTTAAATTTGTTGAGGCTTCTTATATGGCTTTCTTATCGTCTAAAAGGCCTCTTCATTATGCCCACAACGTTAATTTTTTAATTTTGTGGGTTTTTGAAAAAATTTGCGCCTCAGCAGAGGTCTATTTTTTGGCGGGTTTTCAATATATATTTCCCACGGAAATTTTCCGTTCTTTCGACTGAGCGTGGTGCCAATTAGCTCACATCGCCAAAAAGTAGAAAATTGTGCGTGTTATCTCCTTCCCCCACGTCGATTGAAAATTTTTCTCTTTCCTCACCCATGTGACTATTTTTTATGAAACATATTGAAAAATTAGACTGAGACTCGAATCCATTCTGTCCAAAAATAATTTTTTTCAAATTTCGTTTTAAAAATTTTTTCCCAAGTTTTCAGTTATTAATTTTTTTATTCCAAAATGAACTATTTATGGTCCATAAATAGTCGATAAATAATGAATTTTGGAATGGAAAAATTAAAAAAATAGAAATTTGAAAAAAATTTTTTTGGATAGAACAAATCCGAGTCCCAGTCTAATTTTTTAATGCTTCGTAAAAATAGTCACTTCGGATAAAGAAATAAAAAAATATCCAATCGCGGTGCGGGACGGTGGTACCACGCACAATTTACTACTTTTTTGGCAATTTTAAATAAGCACTTCCGATGATGTGAGCTAATGGCACCATGCTCAATGGAAAGAATGGAAAATTTTCGTCAGAATATTATTGAAAACCCGAAAAAAATGGCCTGTGCTGGAACTTGAAATTTTGTCAAAAACTCACAAAACTCGAAAATTAACGTTGTGGGCATAATAAAATTGAAAAAAAAACTGAAAAAACAATTTCTTAGGCCTTTTGAACGATAAGAAAGCCACATAAGAAGCCTCAAATAAATTAAATTTTTGAAAGTATAAACCCATACCACAAAGTTTTCAGAAGATTTTTATTGTTCTGTTTTTCCATTGAAACCGTCGAAATTTCGTTGAAATTTCGACAAAATCTTTCTTTCATGGCAACAAAGATTAGTATTGAAAATTGTCTCAATAGTTAGAGATAGTCAACTTTTTATGAACATCTATTATATAGAATATCTCTAAAATTACGCAACGGATATAATTTTTTTTCTCGCTCAATGAGCATGGCGCCGCCCGTTTCTCGATTTTTAAAAATTCGGAGAAAAATTAGAGTTCTTAATTGGCTAAATTTGTTTAGCCGAAAAAAAAACGTCGAACGGGCAGGAAAGCGGCGGGGCGCCGCCCGGTGCCAGTTTAGGGGTAGACACTTAGCCTTCCCCCTCCAGTTTTATTTGCCAAATGGACTGTCGTGTGTACCAACCGACTCTTCTCTTATTTTTGTGGTAGTCCTGATCCTACCGCCATGTGAGTTTACGTTGGACACAAAGATGCCATATTATTTTTTTCTGTCTCTTGTTGTTGTTTCTGCTAAGAAAAATACTGCGTTAAAAAGAACATTAAGCGATTATTGAAATTGAGAATAGTGCATTTAAGAAGTTACAGGAAAGACTGGATTCCTGGGTTTCCGAAGAAAGTAAGTATGAAACAACGTTACGGAAGGTTATATTGTTGAAATTTGTATTATTCTTCATGCTAATCTCTCCTCTGCTAGCGATGCCTGGTTTTTCTCATAACAATAAACAATGAGCATTATCAACGTGTTTTTTTTTTTCAATGTATTTATTTATTGATAACAGCAGGAATAATTTCTGTCTGGCTCTAACCTTTTTTTCTACTGATTCAATAATTTTTTGCATTACTTGTAGAAGTGAGCTGAACTGTAGTATTTATATTCCTAATTTAATTTCTTTCTTTCTAGGAGTATGCCGAAGAATGCGAAATGCGTGGTACCGCATTGCGGCCACGCTCACCAAAAGAATAAAGCATGTACTTTTGCGAGATTTCCGAGACAAACTGACCGGTAAGTTTCTTTGATAAAATAAATAGTCGAATCCAGTAATGTCTAGCGATGGGTGGAACAAAATGAAACAACAGGGCAAAATAAAACAGTCTAAAAAAAATGACGTAGCCGCAATTCCAACAACTTCTTTTTCATGTAAACAAAAAATTAGAAATGGAGGTTAGGTGCACCGATTCTTTTTCCATCTTTGAATGACACCTTACTCCCAGATATTTATTATTAGAAATACTGATGAGAATAATTTTCCGAACGATTGGGCTTTTTCTTGTCAATCCATTTTTAAAGTAACATCACTTTAACCATTTTTAAGCAAAATTAATTTAAGCAATTAGATTACTGATAAAATAAGTAAGAATTATTAATATTGACGTTTTCATATAAAAAATAGATGAAGAACGTTCAGGAATTTCTGAACATCAAAATTCAATGGTGTTCCATTTTTCTCCATATTTCATTTTACCCCATTCTCCCCTATGTGCTTGTTTTAATCCTAATACTATCAATTTCAATGCAGATGTAAAGAGTGGGTGCGAACGATTGGCGTAAAGGATCTGCTACATTTATCTGTTGAAAAACTTAATGCTATTCGTTATGTGTGTGGATGTCACTTTACTGTTGATCAGTTCATGACGCCGTCCAAAAAGAAGTTAAAAGATACCGCTGTACCATCTGTATTCGATCCACGAGTTATTGCTCTGGATGACGGTTTATTGGAAAATTTCCCACTCTCAGATGTTATCAAAATTCCCACTGCAGGTAAATCATCTCTTTTTTTGCATCATATTGAAAAGGATTGGGGTTTGGCGAAAGATATCCCAGCCTTTGTAACATATGCGTTGTTTTTTTATTAACAACAATGTTCGACAAATATTTTCGATCCGTCGAGTAGTATAACTGTCGCCTGAGACTTCAGCTGACAGACTGGCAATATTTTCTTTTATTTTACCAGCCATTAACAATTTAGATTCAGTCAGCATATAAATAACAGAGATTGGTGAAGTTTTCAGGACAATTATCATAATTAATTTATTAGGGTGAAAATTTAAGGATGGATTGAAAAATGAAAATAAGCAAACAGGCAATTGTAAAAGAAAAGTACGAAATTCTATTTATTCATTTTTGTTTTATTTCATTCAATTATTGTTTCATCTTCATCAGCAGTACATCATGGTCAACCATAATTCAATCTTCCCTAAACTTATTACCTGAATTTCAGCTAAAACAGTACAATTATCTCATCAACACTTGGAGGGGATGCGTCTGAACCATTTACATCTCAATAAACGTGACAAATTAGCAGGTAATGGTAAATCTATTTGCAAAATGTGTCCAATTATAAAAAGTCAGTCGAATGAAAAATGTAGTCCTATGTTATATTCGCAATACTTTTGTATTCGGTTTGTGTTCTATTCCTGTTCTGGATTCTCTTTTTGCTATATTCTTATCTTGCATTCTGTTTTTGCTACATCAAATAGCAGCACTTTTACTCACTAATTTATTCTGCAGAAATTGGCACACGATGAAGGGAAAATAAGTATATTATATTCAATACAGTCCAATCTTCGTAAACAATACTACAGGGACTATAGGGGAATGAAAATCCGAGAATCACATATCCCCCACTTTACTTACGCTCAGAGGGCAAAATATTTATGATTTTATATTCTTCGTACAAGATACCACACGATTTCCATTTTTCATGACCATTTGAGTACGATTTCTGATGTGAAATACGAATATTTGATTGGAAGGTATTGCTCTTTTTGAAAATAACAATTTACAAAGTCGGAATAAGTTAGTTTACTAGTAAGGACCCGCGAGGCAAAATTGAAACTTTCATTGGAATTTTGGTATGCCTAAAAATTAGGTTGAATTTGGTTTGTCTTGTCTATCTATTCATTTAAAAAAATTGACGTGAAACACATGGTGCAATACATGTAAAAAAAGATATTTTACCAAGTGTTATGACCAATGCGTTCAATTGTTTTTATTAACTGTAACAAATGTCCATTCGTTTTGAAATTCAATTGATGGACTATTAAGTTCTAGATCATAGATACATACATTTCCAATAATTTCTACAATATCTTAACTCCATTCCCGCTTAATTCTAGCCCTGTTATCGAGTATCTTGAAGAAGAATACGAAACGAAAAACATTCAAGTCAGAAAGTGAGCGTACACTGAGAGAAAAACGGCAAACTTCTCAAAAAAATCTTACTTGTGCCAAGAAAATATTGTTTTGAAAATTATAAAAAAAAAATTTTTTGTATCAAACATTCAGAGAGTATCGCCAAGATGAAAAATTTTTGTCGCAAAAATAGATTTAGTAGTTGAAAAAAATGCATTCTCTGTACACGCAAGAAATGTAAGTTCTAACACTACTCCTTCGTATGTTTTATATGGAATAAGGGATAGTAATGTTTCGTTTCAGCTATCTAATAATCAGACAAGAAATGAACCCCTAAATGCAACAATAATCATGATATGATAGTAACTTAGGGCCTGAATTTTTGTTGATAAATTTTCCTTCATATGATTTACTTTCATCCTGAAAAGACACCATCTGGTGTGAATTATCCGCCTCTTGAGCCAAATATTTCGTTGTTATAAAAAACAGAGTAATTATTCATATTTCAGACTTTCAAATTCGAAGCAAACAATTTCTTTTTTGGCAATTTTCAACTAGCGATTATGCTGGCCTAGATAAGACTTGTTTGAGAACATGTCTGTTTTTCTCTCAGTGTATCACTCAGCACGTAGTATCTTGTATGAAGACTGGACTGTACATGAGCAATTTCCCACTTATTTTAGCATGTAGCCATTCACAACAGATTCTACATTGAAAATTTTTGTTTCGATTATTAGCGTTTATTTCATTTGTTGCAGATACAGTAAATACACCTTCACATAATAATGAAGAATCATTGTTCAGGGTTACAGTGGATAATCACACACAGTTCTTCTCTAAAACTACTGAGATCCATCTTACACCGAAACATATCTCTAATGAGTATGCATCATCGTGTGAGTATATTTTTGTCACTCCGTTCGTGCAGCCTCGTTTCACGCTCGCTGCGCGTGCTTAAAAGCCCCCCACGAACGGTGTAATAAAAAATATGATGCGTCACTATGTTGAAAAATACTATTTCGTTGCATATCAAAAAAATTTTTATTCTCTTAATAAATTTTCTTATAGGAGAGAGTCAGGCAGAATGAAACATAGGGCAAAATGAAACAGCCGAAAAACGATTATTTGAAGCAATTCAAGCAAAAAAAATGTTACCCACTTTTGTTTATTTACTTTTTTTATTAGCAGGAGTACTGATGAGAATAATAATTTTCTATTAGGTATAAATGAACATGCAGTGCGAAAAAATCATATTGCATTGAATTTATCCCGAAAATTCAGCCTCGTTCGGCGAAGCCCGCAATAATGGAGATATTGGAGAAGACAAATTGTCAACAGACAGTTGAATAAAATTCTGGGACAACTCTTATCTATGACAATTTCATTCTCAGATTCAGCAGAATTTTTCTCAGCTCGTGAACAGTCAGTTCATCTTCATCTCCATTGATAGGGTACACATTCACAGATCATATCAAACATATCTTCTTTGAATGCGGAGAGACAATAGACTCCGCAATGACGAGGTCTTAGTTTGGCTGCTGGAGAGCCAGGGGATGAGCTGGCTAGTGGACATTGAGATCGAAATGTAACAGGGGAAGAGAATTTAACTGGGGAGATAGTCAATCCGTTATAGAGGAGTTACAAATATCAGGGATTTTTCCAGACTGCGTATTCATTTCTACTGATTGGAAAATTATTATTCTCGTCATCAGTACTCCCAATAATAAATGGTTGATAAATTTTTTTTTTCCTTCAATTGCGTCAAACAGTCGTTTTTCGACTGTTTCATTTTACCCACTCTCCCCTAGTGATTGATTTTCACAGATGTAATTAATGAGGAGAATCAATCGTCACCACTAGAACAACCCTCCACGAAAGCAACAATGATAGAAATCTCGCAAAAAGAAAGTGAAGATATTGCGCACAACAATACCTTGAATTCTATGACTCCAAAACGGGGGATCAAAAGGAAACGTTACCGACCATCCAGTAAGTTATTACTAATCATAATTGTAAATATGTCAACAACTACTTACAATTTGCCTTGTAATCTTTTGTGCATCAACAACCTTTTCGTTCAGCACTTGGGCATCTTCGATTGCAAGTAATAATAATGCAATGGCTAATGCAAGATTAATTTATATGTCAATTATTTCACCTTTACAATTTCATCTAGAGCCTTATTCTCTTCTCAGTGACATATCCAATTGGTATCCTGCCATTTGTAATCTATGCAACTGTTCTTAAATATAAATATAGCGAAATAATTTCTAAATTTATTCTCAATTGGTTTTATCGCCGATTGGATGACATGATACAGCCTATCTCTTTTGTTATTTGACATGCATGAAAGTATCATCAGCTTGATCCACATTGATACTAATTATAACGCCGTATTTTTATATGATTGTATGGTATGTGTATGTTATATGTGCTATATCTAAATAATACTATTTGAGTGAAGGAGAAAAAAAGTCATGTGATGTTTTGCCATATGCCACATTCATTGCAGCTGCAAGGAATACAGATTCATTAATTTCCAAACACATGAATTATGGAGTAATAACATTAATTGTTACATCTGCTGGAAGGTTTCGAAACTCGATTACTTGTAATATAAAAAATATGAACTTAGGGAAGAAGATAATTTTGATGAAACGAATCGAAACAATAATCCATAGCTTCCTATGCAACTTGAAACGAGTGGAGGATTTACAAATCATTCAAAATGGATGGAAAGAGATTTTTTCTTGAGACCAGACGAAAAGAGACAATTAAACAATCCATTTAAATAATAGAAACGAAAAATGAAAGATATTCTACGAAAGGTGTATCCGATGATCGATTTTTTTCATGCAATTTTCAAAAGTTAATTTATCATGAATTGTGAATTAATAATTAATATCAAGTATTGTATATTGTATTTTATTTGTAAATTTACTTGAATAAATTTTAAGGAGAGACTACTATGAGTTTTAAAAGTTGCAGGCGATTGAAGTGAGATTTCTCATACATTAAAGATCGATTATATATGTCTCAAAACGAATAATTAGTGCAAAAAAAAACTGTTCGTTTCCCCCTACACACTTAAAATGTTGAAAAGTGTTCCGGGCCTCCAATTTTTGAGCTACAGAGGTTCCTTTTTTTTCAAAATAAAAAACAAATAGGTGCAATAATTATTACGAATTAGTTTTTTTAAATTCGACTTCTACCTACACAGCTAATTTTGTTTTGTTTAACAAAAAATTTACGCCATTCATTTTACATAAATGGTACAATTTTTTTATTAGAAAAAGTTCGAAATTAGCTATGTAGGAGTTAAATTGCATATATTTTTTCAAAAATTTGGAAAAAAAAATCTCTGTAGCTCAAAAATTGGAGGCCCGAGACTATCTTTAATATTTTAAGCATCTGCGGGGCAAACAAATAATAAACATCTAATTTTTTTGCACTAATTATTCATTTTTAGACATATCTATAATCGATCTTCAATGTATTTCTTCTAGAAGAAGATCGCATTTCAATAGCCCGCAACTGTTAAAACTCATAGTAGTTTCCCCTTAAGAAAATATTGAAAATACATATACACGAATTTTGTGAATTGAATTTCAATTTTTTGAGGGCAATTAGGAATCGTTGCGTATGCCAGAAAAGATCAAGGCTCTAGATGTACATGAGGTTTTAGTCTTAAAAGAACAAGGATGCTTTCGGCGATGTATCTATTAACCCTAGTCTGGTCACCTTACGCGACCCAACGACTTTGGTCACGTCCGCGGGGAAGTGCCGCCGTGTTATTTAGGCCCGGACGTTGCCAAATTCACTCTACACTGCCCGGGCGCGTTCAGCGAGTTTCCGACAACGTCGCGTAACAGGCACTTTCATTCAACATGGGAAAAAATAATTCCTCTGTGAGAAAAAAATTGTTTTCTTCAGGAATTTCGATAATTATGTTGTTCTAAAACTACTCTAATTTTTTAGACACTTTAATTGGAAAAGTCAATTTTTTTTAAAATTTTTCCGATCAGCCATTCAATGACAGTTCAGGAAAAACGACGGGCTGCGGCGTTTCCCTCATATGGTGACCAATCTAGGGTTAATTATGTCATGTGTAAGTTTTCAAACTAATGGTTATTGTTTATTTTCTGTCCGTTTCAATTCTACAAACTGCAATTAGTAGCGAAGATTAGAACATCGAAGAAACAATGTATTGAGGATGCAGGTTTACAACAAGAACCTCTCACTCCACGAAAAGCCAAATTGATTAAAATAATACAGAATAAAGAAATAGAATTACGTAAAAAAGATGTTGAATTAAAAGAAAAAATTGCGCAACTGCAAGAATCGCAAAATTCTGCAAAAGCTCTTCTCTCCGAGTCTAGATATTCTCAATTATTCGAGAGCGATTCATTACCTGTCCTGCAGCAATTATTAGAAAGTCACGTCAGAAACCATCAACGTCAACCAACCGGACGGAGGTGGTCTGACACGGACAAATCATTCGCTGTGCAAATTTATAAACGTGGGCCAGCTGTTTATCATCTGCTTCAACAGCTTCTCCTTTTACCTACTGTGAGGACAGTTTCGCGTGTGCTAGAACGTATTCCAATCAATGTAGGCATTAATAAGCAAATAATGGTCAATATTAAACAGATAGTTGAAACAATGGATGAAATAGATAAATACTGTATTTTAACATTCGACGAAGTAGCACTGAAGAAAGGTTTAATATTGAATGAGAAGACTGCAACGATAATTGGCTTTGAAGATTTTGGAAATGGCCAACGCACTGAAAAAGTTGCCAATAGGGCATTGGTATTTATGGTACAAGGCCTCAACAAATCCTTCAAGCAACCTATTGCCTATTATTTTTCTCATGGTACCACCAGTGGCGACCAGATACAGATTTTAACAGAGGAGGTTTTAAATGCAGTTGATGAGACCGGTCTTATAGTAAAGAGTCTAGTTTGCGACCAAGGCCGGACCAATCAAACGGCAATAAAATTGCTGAAAAAAAAATACAATGATACTCAAAGCAAGACAGCCGATACTTCTTTTCTGTGGAGGGGGCGAAAGATTTATACCATTTTTGATTGGCCACATTTATTCAAATGCTTACGAAATAATTTTATGGGTAATTGGGAAGACTGGGTGAAGGCTAATCCAGACTCATCTAAATTCAATTATCCAGGACAAGAAGTAGAGTGGAACGGTCAAATTGCTAAGTGGAGGGATCTCATCGTACTTCATGAGAAAGAGGCAGCTGCTAAAGCAACAAGTGAGAAATTAACAGAGAGCCACATCTTTCCAACAAATAATGAAAAAATGCGTGTTAAGTTTGCTGCTCAAGTGTTTAGCAAACGAACAGCTAGCACCTTGAGACTTCTAGCGAAGTACAACAAAAAAGAAGACACTGCCAACTTTACTGAAACTGCGAACGTAATTGAAGATCTCAATGATCTTTTTGATTATTGCAACGGGCCACGGAGAAAGGGGGATCACGCTTTGAACATCAAAAATCCAACGCCAGAAACAGATCATCTCATACAATGGGAAAAATTCAGGAAATCAGCGATGAAAATGAAATTCAAAAATCATACAGGGAGAATTTTCACGCCATCTTCTCAACATAATTTAGTAACTTCTCTGTCAGCATTGCAAGATTTATGGCAAGAACTTCAAGAACTCGGTTTCAATGAATTAATTCTGAGACACCTAAATCAAGATCCACTCGAAAATCTGTTTGGTCTGATCCGACGTAACTGTGGCGCGAATACTAATCCTACATGTATACATTTCGAATCCGCTTTGAAAGCCATTTTAATCTCAAGACATTCAGAACCCCATGCTGTAAGATCTAATTGTGAAGAGGATGATCGCCAAATGCTATTGAATTTGATGGATTGGATCTCTACAGAGGATTTGTCAACCGGTTCTAGCATTGAAATCAACGATGATTCAAGCAGTCCTCGTGGGAACAATAATGATAACGATGCTGATCTCGATTGTCCAAACTCACCACTGGCTGTACATATGCAAGAAAATGATTTAGAAGATACATCAGCAGATGACCTACAGGTGCCAGAAGCAGATGTGAAGGTGATAGACGACTTATCCATAGAAGATTTATGCGAGAAAATTCTTATAAAATTGCGATCACAATGTGACGAATGTGTGAAGTGTCTCACTCGTAGTGAAACTGGTAATGGAGAACCCAATCATCCTCGAAAACCGTCAAGCAATTTAAAGGACTTGGTTCGAACCGCAAAGATTACCTTCCGTGAAGTAATCGTTCCCCAGATTTATTGTTCAGGTGTGAAACATCTAGCCCTGCAAGAAATACTGAGTACTATCAACACAACTTGGTTAAGTTGTTCAGTCCACGGTTCTTCAATTGCTGTTTTCCTAGCAAACTCCCTCGTGACACAGATAATTTTACAATATTGTAAAAACCTGAACATCATATTCAGAAGGGCTGAAAGAGCATCAGCGAACGCTCATAAAATTGCTCAACAAGCTGGAACGGCAAAGTTTGTTCTTTGTTTGTCATTATGTACATACGTGTTTTCCAATTTTCAAACATTTCAAATGTGATTGTCCCATCATTATTTCTCTGATAATGATGAATATTTCATCTGATCTTCTCCAAACTGTCATGCTTTGAAATTCCCTCGAAAATGAGTCATTTTTTCCAGAACAAAAAAAAACAGCGTATTCATGAAAAATCACTCATTATAGAGGGATGTCCTATCCAAAAATAAATTGGATAATCGCCGTCTCTACTACATAGAATTTTATCTTCCCTGATTGAGCTGGATATTTGTGCATCCTCTCTACACATTTTTTCTTTACTCTTTGTCTTCTTGTTATGTATGCATGAACATTATTCTATAGTAGTTGAGATCTATCAAATAGTTCGGAATATGTCGTGACACAAATTTTTTGCAGTTCATCATTAAAATCCACCACATTATAACTCATTTTCCAAATATTTTTCAGGTGAATTCTACATAATCTCGAGACAGGATGTAAAATTTGCAGAAGGTAATTGGTTGAATTCTGTGTCCTTCCTCGATGCTATAGAATGGGATGCACACATGGAGCGGAACATAAATTGCATAATTGAAGAATACCGCCATATTTACTATAGGTTAGTTTCTAATTATTAATCTATTCAGATCATTCATTGCTTTTCATAAACACAATTATCGAAAAATACTTTTGATCATAAATTGAAGGCAATAACATGAACATCACTACTAATGTAGCCGGAAAATATATTATTATTGTGATAGTTTATTAATTGACATGACTGATTCTCAAGTGAACAGTGATTTGACACATGAATTGCTAATGAATCTCCTCATGTTTTATAGGACATACATTCAACCTACAGTGAAGTTGCCAGTGATTATTAGTCAGTTCTTCAAAGTTCGAATGGAGATACGATTTTGCTGAGGATGGCATTGGAGAGACTGCCCATGCAATGTTGTTCGCGACATGGATGTTTAGTATCAGGTCCAGATACGAATTTCGGCTAATTAGACTCGACAACAGGCAAGTGAGTTCAGTACTATTTCTAGTTGGTGAAAATAAGTTCAGGAGGAATATTTAATGACTCTGAAGTTTGCAAATATCTGTGAGCAATTCCACGTCAAATACGAAATAGAAAAAATTTCATGTTTCCGATTGTCTTGAGGATTTTTTTTAAACGAGTATATGAGATTCGATTTTTTTCAAACAATAATGATTTTTAAAAAAAACTTTCTCTATTTGAATTTTGATTGTTTGAGAGAAAGGTGAAATTGAATTTAATCATTAGACTGAGAAATCAAATGACTGAGAAAAAAAAATTTATGGCTAGTAATAGTTTAAAAAGTGACTTCTTTCAAGCCATATTCTACTTCGGAGCATATAACTATTCACCTTACTGTTACAGTGAGGGAGGGGACACGTAAGAGTTGCATTTTATAATCGTTTTGGTATGGTGAAAGTGATACTTTTTGGCTTTTTCAATGTTGTCGCCTCACATAAAATATTGAAAGCACTTGTGAAGACAATTTTTTCCTCGTCAGCGAATTCATATGAAGATAAAGGCCCATATGGCAACATCAAAATGGCTTGGAATGAAGTGCAACTGAAGCCTCTACCGACTATGATTTCCACACTGAGAAAAAAAAAATTTTGGCAAGTCTCCATTCACGTAAGAGAAGTATTAATTTTTTTAATAACGTATTTCTCCAGTCGATTCATTCCCAGGCAATACTCATTAGATTTCAATTATGACAATTATATTACTTTAGAAGATGATCATGTCAGTTATGACCTTCAATGAACTCCCTCAATAAATATCGACATTAAAAAATTAATCGAAATTCTTCCTTGTGGAAAATAAAAAATTTAGGAAAAATGAATAAACATTGGAAGAGTTCATCCAAGGTCATGTGCAACATAGTCATCCTCTAGAGCAACATGCATGTCATAATTAAAACCTAATCGGGCTTACCTGGGCATGACTCAAACACGCGAAATACATTATTGAAAAATAAATACTTCTCTAGAGTAAATGGAAACTTGACAATGGATAGTTGCCAAAAATAATCCGAATTCCCCGTTGAAGAAAAAATTGTCTACACAAGTTCTTACATTTTGTGTGAGGCGACAACATTGAAAAAGTCCCACGCTTTCACAATTCAAAACAATCAAAAAATACAATCCGTCGTGAATTCATTGATTATCAAATAAGTCAGGATTTTTAAGTTTCTCCTCCCTCAATGTAACGTTCAAGTTGTATGTTCCGAAGTGGAATATGGCTTGAAATAAATCACTTTTTTAACTATTACTAGTCTTGAATTTTTTCTTTGTCATTTCCGCATTGCTCCCGGAAATCTTGCAAAATAATTATTGTCCTTTGGTAAAAATATCTGTAATTGTTTCCCCAAGTTACCCATAAAATTTTAGATAAAAAAGATTATTTAAATTCTTCTGGGCCATGTTTCGGTCAGCAGCAATAATCAACACAAAAAATGTGTAAACTAGTTTAATTGCACTACGTTTCGAATGCACAAAGCATTCCTCTTCAGGTGCATTTATTATTCTAAATTAAAACAAAATTAAGATGTTCTTTGAGAATTTATTTCTAGCTGTCATCTGACGACGTAAACAAACAGCCATACCGTTCTGTCAAACTAACGGGATGAAGTCTGACAGTCTTCAGACATGACATTTTTCAAATTTCGGATTTGACGTCCAATTGCTCATAGAAATCTGCAAACTTGAGGGTCATCATCAATACGGTGAGAGTTGCAGATAAAAATCTGAAAGTACGACCATTAATTCAACATTCCTGATTTGGCTTTTTTCTTGCTTTCTTTGTATTAAAAAAAATCTATTCTTCAGTAAGAGGTAATCAAAACGTCAACTTTTGGCGCAGTTCTTTTACGAAAACATTTGTTTTTGGATTTTTTGCTTCCCAATGGAAGCTTTGTAATCGTGATTTTTTTCGACTTCTTAATTTTGGGTGAAAATGCCTAGAAATTTCATGAAACGTGAAGAAATGATGTTTTTAAAAAGTGGCTGTATGTGTGTGCACATGTTTATTCGTACGTCCAGAACTGTCCCCATAACTCGAGAATTATTAGGGCAGAGATGCTGAAATTCTGGCTGCTAATTCGTACTACTGAGACTCAAATTTGTGCTAAATTTCAGCTCGATCGGTTGAGCGGTTCCGGAGATATAGCGATTCTTCGGAAATCTTTTTTTGCCGATATCTCCTGGACCATTCGAACGATTCGATTTTTTTTTAAATACTCGTATGATGATACCTATTTAATTATATTGAACGAAGACCATTACACCCTGGGCAATGTAGTTTCATTCTCATTTTTTTTATTTTTTCGCTGAAATAGTTTGTTCGTACGATAACTTGAAAAATAATTAAGATAGAAACTTGAAACTTGGTATGATTTTAGGTCTTATGGTAACAAAGTTTGAGATTCTGGATGAACGAAATCGGAACAGTAATTTTGGAGATATTCAACTTTATATGTGAAATTTTTTTGCTCAATATCTAAAAAATTATTGGTCCGATTTCATTTTTTTTTCCTTTAAAATGTGCGTTATGATGTCATCTATCTAGATCCAACAAAATATGGGTACCATCCCAAATTGAAATTTTTCTAGGTATCATCGTTTTTGTATTTTTTTGGTTGGAATTCACTTTTGCGCACTATGACGTGGGTAAAACTCAGGAACACTTTTTAAAACTTTGGCTTCTAGTTAGGATTGTGAAGGAACATTCCTATATCAAATTTGAGGGCGATATATGTGATAGTTCTTGAGATGAAACAATTCACCCACAATTGAGAAAAAAAATTAAAGCATCTATATTTCACCGTTCATTTTCACATCAGTATAATTGAGAAAGCCATATAACATAAATATATGATTTTTTCAAATTTATTTTATAGAAATATGGGAAAATGATTGGGATCGGCCTTAATATTTTCAAAAATGGTAATCCTTATGCCTTTATTTTTTTAAAACGAACATTGGGATCCATTCGGAAGCCTACTACCTATGACATTTGTAGAAATAACAATAGGAGAAAAAAATACGTGGAGATTAACAGTCATATATAATCTGTCAAATGGCTTATGTCGCGTTGCTTGTTTATTTTATGTTTCATTATTTGGGTTAGCGTTCATTATTACTATTGTTTGCTTCAGATTATACTTTTCGATAAAGAATAAGGAAGTACAACCTGGACAAATTTTTATACGAAATTTCAAATATAGCATTGGTGAATCTGCTCACATTTCTTTTCTAAAATCCAGCCAATCCCTTTTCGCCACTTCAAATATCTCTCACGAAACATTCATGAAAACAAAATCCCTGAATCCCTAGCTAGTAAATTCCGGTTGCCTCGCTCGATTGCATGAAGTCCGGTCGTTCTACGGCGCTGTATGGCAAGTAAAACCCCTAGCGTAGAGAAGTCCCGCGCATGCGAAGTCCAATCCTAAATTTACACTCATAAACATTTTTTTCAATCGACAATCATCATCGGATTATCACGTTTAGAGGTAAATTATCCCAACGCCTTCCAATAAATATAATGTCGAAGTAAACTACTGAAATTCAATAGAATTCCGTCCATTAATCATGCTCATTTCGAGGATTACGGGACTCTAGCATGCGGTGACGTCACTCATACACTATTCTGAAAGAACGCTGTGGGACGATAATGGCGGGTATGTACTGGTGATCCGAGGCAGAAGCCATTTGCAATTTTTTCTAAGAAAGTTTTCCTTTTGTCCAAACATTTATCCTATTTATTTATTGATGGAATTTACTCGGAAGCAGTGTTAAATTATGGCTTGTGTTCTAGAATTGTACGCAAAATACAACTGCACGTACTGCCAAGAGGACATCGCGGGGCTGCGGGTAAAATGCGTCGAATGCCAAGAATTCGATCTCTGCTTACAGGTGAGTTTGAACAACGCCATATGACACGATAGTCACATGACACTCACACCCAATCCCCCCTCCTACTATTTTGTTTCCTTTTATGATAGTTTATTTTCCATTTGTTTTTGTTTATTGAAAAATTCAACTTTTCGAAGGGAGAGGAAAATAGTTCTTATTGATAGTACTTTCATAGATTTTTAAAGTTTACCATTTTTTTTACAGTGTTTTTCTGCTGGCGCCGAAATTGGACAACACAAGAACAACCATTCGTACCAGTTTATGGTGAATATATGACATTATTTAGTTCAAATGAGGAATTGGGATAATGACATTTAAATATTGATACCTGATCTTCTCACTGTTCTGAGTTAAAAAAAAAAAATTTCATTCATATTCTTGTTGTTTCTAACTTCACATTCTTTTTGAAGTTTGAAATTGCTTTTATTTATGTGTTTTTCCGTTCCAGTACTACGTTGCTGTTTTTTTCATGTATTTCAATAGTCTATAAAATACTTTAACCCGTCAGTAAGCGCGCTATGAGCATTTCCCTCAAATAACGCTAGTCAACCTACAGGACATCTCTGCAGTGTGAGTGAGATATTAAAAAGAGCGCGCCTACTGACGGGTTAAAGGAAATCTCAGGTCAAAATGGAGAATTTGAAAACTCTCTTATTACTCAACATGATCAACAAACGAAATGAAAATTGATAAATTGAAAAATACGTTCCTTTTCGTAGTCAACTATTTCATCATTTTATTTATTGTTTTTATAGGACTCTGGTACCATCAGTATATTCAGTGGGCGAGGGAATTGGACAGCAAGGGAACACCTCCGATTACTAGACGCAATCGAACAATTTGGCTTTGGTAACTGGGAAGACATAAGCAAGCATATCGAAACACGTACCCCGGAAGAGGCTAAAGAGGAGTACATGGCCAGATACCTCGATGGAAACATTGGTAAACACACCTGGCCACCAACAGAAAGTTACAAACCCAACCTTACTGATCAAACAAGCTCTGATCATGGACCATTGTCACCTGATCTTACGTCTCGACTTCCTCCTTTGGATATCACCCCTGAAGAAGCTGCGCAGTTGGGATATATGCCTCAGAGAGATGATTTCGAACGAGTAATTATATTTTTCCAATCTTTACCTGCTTTCATGAATATAAACGTATCTGAGTAGGATGATCCAGACACTTAATCGATTTCAAAATGCTGATAATTTTTATTGGTTGAGTTTGTAAAAGTCATTTCGATGTGACGCAACGGGAATTCATCTTTTCGAGAATTATCTACTGCCATTTGTTGAATTTTAGAAGGACTGCTCAAAGTACTGACATCAAACTTTTTTGAGCCACATTTTTCATACGAGTCAAATGTAATTGGACTCATTTCCTTCGTTGGAACATTCTCTATTTCACTATATAGTTTATATTTGAGAACCTGATGAACTCTTAAGTAAATCCTCCTAAATTTAGATAAAATTTAAATAAAATTTTAAAAATAACTAATTGTGCGCAATTGCATTGAAAGGGTCAGAAATTAGACTTAAGAAGGTACCAAGGTGAGACTTGGAAATCTTTAGTTGATAAGAATATCCCTTGAGCGACTCGTGGTACTAAAAAAAAAAAATAAAATTTTGGGGCCAAACCATTATACTATTTTTCGTGTTTGTGACTTGAAAATCTCCTTGTACCATAATTTTCACCCGAACTGTTTTTCTGATGTTCCCTGGATTCATTGAATAGATCATGAGGAGATTAATTTTTTTGGTTTACTTATTTTCTCGTTTTCACACATCGTTTATAGAAATCATTGTCTTGAATAAGTCAAGATTGAATTAGCAAATGAAAAGTGTTTAAGACTCGCGTGTATTATCTTTCGAACGTGATCTTGTTTATTATTTTTTCTTTTGATAATCTGAAATGTTCTTCAATTACCATTCAATTTTACATAGCCCTGGAGTCTTCAAAAATTATGATTGTACAATCAAAGAAACGTTTAAAAAAACTGAACATTTTCAAAGTGCGTTTTTTAATAATATTGGGAAATAAACCCAATAAGGGTATCCCGGTGGCTTGGCGCAGTGGGTAAGTTCGTGGCCTCATGTGCGAAAGGTTCCGAGTTCAAAACCCGGCCGAGTAGAATGGTGAGATCTAACCATTTAAAGTCTTGATCATCATCATAGCATACCCTAACCGGGTCGAAGTGATGTAAAATAACGATTAAAAAAAAACCCAATAAGAAGGAAATTGCAAATTAATAATTTACAGTATCCAATGGCTGTTCAATCGGCATTTGTCTCAGTAGCCAATGCCTATCAGATCCTTAGTTGCCACAATAAATTATCCATTTACAATTTCCTCTCTGTCAGACTTTTTTCATAATTTTTATTAAAAATGCTCTTTGAAGATGTTCATTTTTTTCTACTTTTTTTGATTGTGCAATCATAATTTTTAGAGACACCTACGTGATATAAAATCCAGTGGAAATTGTGATATATTTTAGATTATGAAAATGGAAAAACAATCGAGATACAGTTCGAAAGATAACCCATCCAGGCCTTAATACTAAAAAATGACGAGGTTGATGGAAATAAACTTCTCAAAAGAATGATTTGTAGATGGTATGCAAAGACGAAAGAAAAGATTAAACGAAAAAAATGGATTTTCTCACGATCTATTTGAGATCATAAAAAAAAAACGTAATTTTAATCTATGGAATGCAATAAACATTTCGAAAAAAACGAATCGGATCAAAATTGTGGTACGGGGAGCATTTTACAAGCAAGAACATGAAAAATGAGTCGGAGCAAAATGGGTTGGGCTAAAATTTTTCTCGATTTTTTAGGTACTCCATTAATTTCAGGAGTCGCTCAATGGCTATTCTCATCAACCGAAGACTTCCAATTTTTACCCTGGTACCCCCTTGAAAAAACCTCAACAATGTCAAGCTACAATGGTTAATATTTTCAATTGTCTCAAATATAGGTGAATTATGTTATGTATTTTTATCCAGCATTCGAGTATCAAATTCAGTAATAAATAATTATAAACTGATCCCCTTCCTTTTGTAGGATTATAATCATGAGGCAGAGTCACTGGTTTCGTCCCTGTTCTTGAACCCAGCCGAGGACGATGACCTCGATATCGCCCTCAAATTGGCCCACGTTGATATGTACACAAATAATTTGCGAGAACGAGCACGGAGAAAACGTGTAGTCCGTGATTATCAACTAGTATCCCAATTTTTCGCCTCTTCCAGGAAGGAAAAAGGCATTAAAAAGAAGCAGACTAGAGAAGAAAAGTATGTCTATAATTTATTAATACTCTATATTACATTAAAAAATCTCCTCTCAATAAACGATATGGAATTATTATCAGAAATACTGATTAATGAAAATACTTTGTAATATATTATTGTCTGAGCTAGGAGGAAAGAACCTTGGCAGTTGAGCTCAAGATCACTAATAGAACGTATTAATGAAAACAATTTACGAGAATGTGATGTTTCTTTCTTTGAAAATACAAAATAATAACACATGAATATTTTAACAGTTATCTCAAGAACGAGGTAGATTATAAAAATTCTTGAATTTCCTTACAAAAAAGATATCTCATTCACTCGAGTTCAGGAATTAATTTTATTAGAAAATAATTAATTCCTGAGCTCTCAACCCAACTCCTCTTCTTATATAAGCCGGTTAATTCAACCAAACGATTATTCTCATAATACAATGTTCATCACCTTTTTCAGAGATTTTAGAGAACGCCTGCGTGTCTTTGCCCAGTTTTACACAGCCCAAGAGTACGAGCAATTTCTGGCAAACTTAGAGAGAGAACGTGAACTAAGATTACGTCTCTCTGAACTCTATCGTTACCGAGAAAATGGGATAACAAGACATGAAGAGTGCACACACTTCGAGCAAGTAATTGTGCAAACACAGGGTTCAACTGAAGCGGCAGATCACTGGACTGAGAAAAAATCTGTAAGTAGATTTTTCGAATGAAATTAAGCGGGAATGCACTACTGAGTTTCAAATTTTTTGAAACGGAAAAATGAACTTCACGGGTTCTCTTCGGGACGTGTTCAATGATCCAATGAAAAAAAAAACTATCGATTTTTGAGCTTTAGAAAAACTTTACGTAAGCACCAGTTGACAGATTAAACTAAGAATTGAACACAATATTCAGAGCACTGATACCAATGAAAGTCAGAACCGATCGGCTTCTGGATTGCACGATTTCTCGATTTTATATCACGCGAATGTTCAAGGAATGTATCCTCAAAAATATTGTAATTCAATTTATTATTTTTTCGATTAGCGCATGACATGAACTCAAACAATCGCCCACTCAAAAAACGTATCCTTACTTTTATTAGTATTACGATAGGATTAGTGCTCTGAATGTAGTACTGAACTTTAGTTTCATCCGACAACTGCTACAAACATAAAGCTTTTGAACACTGAAAATAAAACGGAAATCAATTTTATTTTCGCTCTTCAGTGAATCATTTAATATTTCATTAAGTCGATTCACTGGTAGAAGAGACTCCATGGAGTTCATTTTTCCTCTCTGTAGTTTACCTCTTAATCATTTACTCGTTGCATTGCAGTACAATTTATTCTTATTCGACATTGATAAATTAACAATTCAACTGAAATAGAACTGGAAATCATCTCAGTAGTGGAGTTGTAAAATGAGATTTGTTCATTACGCACCGAAATCAGTTGTCGTTAATTATCTTTCAAACTGATGGAGATTGCGAAATTATTTACAAAAATCTTATCCATGGTTAATTTTATGAGCTGCAAAGAAGGTCCTTATAGAAATATCTCTTATCCCTTAGAGTCGAATATATTCATCGACAACTCAAGCTGAGAATGAGTTGACTCCAGTTTTACGTTGTTTTTTTTTTCAATTAATATTTTAAAATGTGAAAAATTGAACGATTTTATAAAATAGCCTTTCTTATAAAGACAATTGAGAGCAACAAGAATATTTCCTGCAAATATTCTGTTCTCTCCTCTTAATTTCTAGATATTTTCTAAATATTCTTTAGGTATGGTTCATTCAATTCCAAAATTGGAAATGTTCTAAATTCCCTCAACTAATTTTTTTGGTGCTTCATCATCAGCTTTAGACAAAATGGCAACTCGTTGAACTAAAGAAATTAACAAATTAATCAAGCTCCTTATTCGTGGCACTGGACGAAAAACAAATTGACTACATTGAGACATTGAAATGAATGTTTAATTTTGAAAAAAAAATTACTAACATAAACTTTACTCACAAAAATGCTTCTGTTCACTAATTCTATTGTTTGTGATACGTGTTGCCAGGCGTTTGTGAACAGATTGTATCAGTTTGCATTTCACTTAGGGCAGCAGTGGGCCGTCCACACCAACACTCCGCCACACCTCAAAAAGAAGGTAAGATGTTTAATTTTTTTCAAGTGACACTCACGATTCAGTATGGATCCACCTTATAAATTTTGTTTTTTCATCAATTTTATCGATTGAAACGTGAAAAATTCATGGATAACCATCATAAATCGAGGTTTAATTGAGTGAAAGTTCTTTTCTCGTAGAAACATCAATTTTCCATCATAATTTATGAACGTTTTAAAATCATGTGATCCATGTGGTGTTTTTCTTCACACCGTTAAATTACCTGTTAACAATGTCTCTTGATAAGTTTCCGCAGAGCTCTCATCAACGAGATATTGGAATAGTCTCTTTCGAATTGTCAAACAATAACTATCGAATGTCCTCGAATTTTCTCAAATAAAGAAAGAAATAAAGGAAAAAGCTATAAAAACATTTTTCACAGCAGAAGATTCTTCTCATTTTGGTGTTCATTCACCATCCTCAAATAACTTATTTCGAAAGAATTGATGAAACGAAAAATTTTTGTGAATCCTAATTATTCCGAAAAAGTCAAAGGATATTTTCTGCAGAGGAGCAAATTTTTTATGGAGGGGAAAGCCTCTCCATAATTTGCCCTCAGATTACTTATTAGTGAAATAATTCCACAATTACGTAGAGGATATTTCACAACCTACGTAGTTTTTCTGAATAAAGTATTAATACGCCTCAACGTTTTTGGTAGGTAACTATCCCCAAAATATAAATTAATAAATCGAACAATACCTAAGAAAATAAAATTAACTATTCGGAATTTTGGCGAAATGGTTCGATAATTATATGTTCCACAGAGACGAAGAAAAAAATCACTCTTTCATCGACCGAAAGTACATGTCAAAAGAATCAGCCAGCTCCAAAATAGTCAATCACAGTCGGACGACGACTCAAACCAATCAGTCGGTGGAGCTGGATAACACGTCAAATTATTTATTACAAAAATCTGGTGGCTCATTATTAACCAAGACATCAGACAAAAGGGACATAGAGGTGGAGGCTGCAGCGCATCTGCTTACCAAACAGGAAAAGTCCTTGTGTGTTCAGCTCGATCTTAAGCCCACGCAGTATTTAACACAAAAAACCTTGTTGTTACAAGTAAGTGCCATTTATAATGTTCCTATCGATAATCTCGGAGTATCTAACATCCGCCGATTTATTCATTACATTGTTGAATTTTTTTGCATGGAATTTGAACCGAGAAAATCTCGGAATGACGTAAAACAGCAATTTTTTCACGCAATCAACGCTCAACAACAGATCTCACATGTTCAGAGCGGATACAGAATCAACGAAACATAATTTGTTCTCAATCATCTGAGAGTTAGAGGTTAACAATACTCTAATTGGAGAGCCAGGGAATTTCCGTAGAAAATAATTACCTATCAACTTCATTATTTCTCAATACTTTCAAGATTACATTTTCATTTCTCCGTGCGTTTTGGAATTAACATTTTGACTAATAGAATTATTTCCCCTGAGAAAGGACGCACGAATGTGCAATGGTTGTGTGCAATTTTAATCATCGGAATTCTAATGAGAATAGTAATTCAATCAATAGGAAAAACATAATAACGAATTCATGTAACAGTAGAATCTGTGAATTGATAGATTGCCTAACAAGTGTCTTGTAAGTGAAACTTTATTTTTGTTTGCACAGGAATATCTGAATGGTAATCGAAAATCTACGATAATTCCTCAATCAGAGCCGGAAAACAGGATTCTTCATTACCTCGTTACGAACGGTTGGATTGCAGCCAATTAATTCCCCCCTCAAGTCAACTACCACAAGCCTAATAATCCTCACCTCTAAGTCACACCAATATTAACCTAATGAGTAAGAGTAATTAAATCATAAAAACCATCAATCTGAATTTTTCCCTTCAGCAGATTTTCAAGGAAAACATAACTGAGTTAGAATAAAAAAATGGATAAGAAAGCGTCAGAAGCTTTAACCAGATACGTCCGGGATTGTGATTAAGAATAATAAGGAGAAGAAAAAGATGTAAAGGGTACAAGGACTAAATTATCAGTGAGACCACCTAGACGATACATTCACAACCATTCATTTTACTGATAAACTAATCAGTCACCTCTATCACTTGAATAAATTTCGTCCTTAATTTATTGAAAAAAAAATGATTCCATCTGTGTCTCATATTTTTAAACTTCCACCACAATCATGAAATCCAATTTTCCTCTTATCAATTAATAGTAATGACTCATTCGTTGCGCAGTGAAACGAAAAAATAGTAGAAGCTTAAATGACACGCATCAATATTTTTCCACTATAATTGATGGCGTTCTTAAACGTTTGAATTGAATGATTAATTGAAATGGTGAAAAACAAACCAACGGACCAGACCTGTGCACTTTATTTTGTAAATGTCTTTCGATCTGTAAGATACATCAAGAACATTCATCAAGAGACTTTTTGATCTTCTTGAACATTGATCACGAACAATATTTCAATATATTTCTTGAATTGAAAATCATGATGGGAACGAGTAGGCTTCACGAAATATATCAAAACATTTTTTTTGTAAAAGAGAAAATCTCCAAAGAGAATGCTCTTGATATTTTCCTCAAGGGCCACTCATTTCGGAGCTACAAGTGAAATCACAGTATACAATGAAGTTGAAAAAGATTTGTCGTCATCTCCTGTTCTTTATCTTTTCTAAATATTTAAATGTAAACTAAGTAGAAACAAGTTGGGAATTTTCATGATTAATTGATTGTGTATTCTAATGAATTGCCCATAGACCTACAGATAAGTAGTGATGACGACAGTCACTGTGTACTTACAAGCAAAGTCAAGATTGTATATAAATTGTACAATGAAATATGAATTCTAATTACTAGTAAAAATTATAGTTTTAGGAATTTTCAAAATATTTTTGTTAAATTCGTTTATAAAATTCATCTGTAAATTTTTGGGGAAAATTAACGAATCCTCTCGATGTTAATTGATTCAAAAGTTTTTCAAATCAATTATTATTGTATAATTATGAAACGGTTTTTAATCATTCTTTTTTTTATCCCTCAAATTTTCCTTGGATAGAGACTCTTAATTCTAGATTAAGCTTGTGAGTATTCAAGCGAATAAAAGGGAAAAGGATTGGGCAGTGTTGAACCGAATAATGGATTTCATGATGTAATCGCGGCAGTACCTGAAAGGGGGAAGGGTGTTAAAAATATTTAAGGTTAGAAGAAAAAGTGAAAAATAATCAATTATCACCTATTTTGATCGAATGGAAAATAACACTGAGCAAAGAATCAGATCTATAAAGACAATGAACAGATTCAGAAATTGTGAGAGCAATTGATGTGAAAATGATTGGAAATTGTGAACTAAATTAATTTGTTGTATAGTATGACAGAATGATGGAAATAAAATCGAGATGTCTCATCTAACGCGGAGTATTTTTTATTCTTGGAGAAAACTGTACAGTATTCATGTTCCCTTTTAATGGTCTAGCAAACACCCTTGATTAATTTATACTATTTTATTTTATTTTCTTGCCATTTCCGTCTTCACAATTCGATTAATTTAATTTTATCCATTCTTATTCTCATTATGTCTATATTTTTTCCTTAATTCACATGGAATACTTAATACTTAATTCACAATATTGAATGAAGAGGAATTATGTTGAAGACCAATAAAAAGTGTTTTTCCGTCATCAAAACAAACAAAAGAAAAGTCATTGGAAATCTCATTCGGGTAATAGAAAAATCTCTCCATGTATTCCTGAAAATTTTTAAAATCTATTTATCCCTTTATTTATCTCTTTATCATATGGTAAAAGGATATCGTTACTGCTCATTCCTCTGGTCAGGTTCTAATTATTAGTATGAAAAGGAATTGAAAAAAGAATCAGAAAGGGATAATTGACTAGAAAATCGATTTTTATCTTTTATATCGGCCGGCATTTCGAATCACTCTTTTTTCTTTAAGTATTAGAGGAATGTCAATATTTCAGCGAGAAGTAATTCCAAAAATGCAAAAAAAAAGTGGACGTGAAGAACTGAAAAAATTAATTTTTCAATGTCTCCGGAAAATTTTTAAACCGATATATTTTTTCAAATAATGGAAGGATAGCCATAAATTCGATTTGTCCACTTGTCTTTGCAAAGAATGAATAGAATAAATGTCAGAAATTGAAAATTGGAGACAAAATTTTAGCGGATTATTATTATGTAATGATAAAATATAATGTGTCGATCTACTTGATAATATTTCTATTTATGTGACTAGTACCTCGCTTCGGGCCCGTAAGATAAAATAGTCAACATCATACGGCCCCCAAAATTATTTCCTGACAAATGTGATTATAATCCTCGCCTTTGATTCGGAGTATAAACTGACATTCACATCAGAAAATACCTTATGGGCCTTATGATGATATGTACTATCACTTCCGAATGGAATTTCACATTTTCTCATTTCGATTGGAAATGTAGAATGGAAATGTACACGGAGAGAAAAATTGAATAAAAATTACTAGAAAAAAACGTAAAATAGTAAATTTAGTAACGAGTGCAAAATAGTACATTATGTCATGAGGGCGATAAGCGGCGGTTTGTGAGGAGTGTGGAGTTGCAGCAAGAGGCGTGGCAAGCAGGAGACGAGGATCGCCGAAGGCGATCCGAGTCGGACGCTTGCCATGCCGAGTGTTGCAAACTCCACACGACTCACAAACCAACGCTATCGCCCGAATGGCATATACTATTTTTCGTCACGAAGGCCCGACGCGGGTGTGGGCGCGGGAGGGGGTCCAGGGGGACGAAGTCCCCCTGAAGAAAAAAATAAAAGCAATAGAAAAAAATAAATCGAAATAAAATCAATATCAGTTGATGCGAAAATAAATAACTAGTAAAGTCCGCCAAAATATCCAAAAACAGTAGGTTGATGACGGTAATTTTGGACCTGTGAAAAGAAAATTGCATAAAAAATAGAAAATAAGAACAGATATCAAAGATAAAAGAAGATACTCAGCTGTTCAATTTTTCTTCTTTTATTAAGAACAGAAGTCGACGTTNGCCTCGTGCTGCTAACTTCACACGAATCGCAAACCTCCGTCTACGGTCCTAATGACACAGTATACTATTTTGGCGAGTGGGAGGTTTATATCACGAGCCGAAGGCGAGCCGAAAAGTTCACTTTTCGTCACAGCGTGATGAAAATTACGTTTCGAAACGGACTCCGCGAGCGAAGTAAAATTCAATAAAAATTCTAAGTCGGAACCGAAATTGTACAAATCGCCACGTAAATTCTACTATTTGTTCCGTAAAAATTAACCACCCGTCTAATGATTCACCACTATAGGGACAAGAAGTTCCGTAATGTTTCTCCAACGATTGAGAAATTTTAGGGAACGGAACGTAGAAATAACTCATCAGCTTCATAAAAATTGTTGAACTTTCAAGAATTTTTTATTTTGAAGGTCTGATAAGTCGGGAAGTTTCTGTAAGATTTTACTTCTTCGGGAAAAATTACGTGACAATTTCGTATTTTGTTCAGTAATAAACCTGAGAATTCACTGAACGTTTCAGTGAATTTTCAGGTTCCTGTAGAAATCCTATAAAAAAAACCATAGGCTTCGTATAGAATTCCAATAGAATTTTCTAGTGAATTCGCTAGGTTTTCTATTGAATGTTTTCATGCGTGTGACAAAAAATATTGTTCGTTACACGGCCTAAAAAAACTTTTCTAGCTCATACGATTGCAACCCTCGCCTTCGGTTCGGGTTGCAAACTCATATTCGCCAGAAAAGTTTTTTTCGGCCCAATGACGAAATATACTATTGTAGTTTTTCTCGATTTTTTGTTCAGTCGGTAAAACAAGTGACAAAGCCATTGACAGTTATTTGTTTTATCGACTGACCAAAAAATCGAGAAACACAATATTGTTTTTGATTGCTGAGAAACGCGCCGAGCTTACTGACTCAGTAAGTGGTGCAAGGAAAACGCTATTAGTTTTTCAAAAATATCTTGAAATCCAAAGGGGAATAGAGAATTTCTGGCTAAAATATTTTTTGTAGAGTTGAATGAGATCTACAAAAAAAAGCTCTCATAATAAATTTTCCANGAGTTGTTATTCCGTTGCTAGGGAGTCAGTCGTAAGTTGAGGGTTATATTATCAAAATATTAGTTTAATAAAGAGATTATATTCACTTTCTCGTTATATATCTATTTTGAATAGATTATATATATATATTTCTATTAAAATGTGATGAAAAATTTGAGTATGTTGTGNGTTTTCATGCGTGTGACAAAAAATATTGTTCGTTACACGGCCTAAAAAAACTTTTCTAGCTCATACGATTGCAACCCTCGCCTTCGGTTCGGGTTGCAAACTCATATTCGCCAGAAAAGTTTTTTTCGGCCCAATGACGAAATATACTATTGTAGTTTTTCTCGATTTTTTGTTCAGTCGGTAAAACAAGTGACAAAGCCATTGACAGTTATTTGTTTTATCGACTGACCAAAAAATCGAGAAACACAATATTGTTTTTGATTGCTGAGAAACGCGCCGAGCTTACTGACTCAGTAAGTGGTGCAAGGAAAACGCTATTAGTTTTTCAAAAATATCTTGAAATCCAAAGGGGAATAGAGAATTTCTGGCTAAAATATTTTTTGTAGAGTTGAATGAGATCTACAAAAAAAAGCTCTCATAATAAATTTTCCATATTATCGTATATTTAAAGATATTCATTGACAAATTATCTCCAAATTGCAGTTGCCAATTTGTTTTTTGACAATATCTCAGAATTGAAGCATAATATCGATTACTTGTAGGGAAGAATTAGATCCAAAAAAAGGTTATTACAAAAATACCTGTATCTCCTTTGCATTCTGAGATGTAGTCCAAAAACAAATTTTCGGATTTCATTGACACATCTTGTTTCATGTCTTCACCTCTGAATCAAGTTTTATCCTGGGTTATGATATTCAGCAGATTTAAGGATAATCGGGCGAGCCCGGAGTGTTGGAAAAAAAGCAGCCTTTTTTTTCTTTTTTTTACGTATTCTTTAAACGATGGAAAAGGCGTGTGCAAAGTTTCAAACTGCTAGGGAGCATGGTTAATTTATTATGAATTTTTAAAAAAGTGGTCATTTAACCCGTGATCTTATGGAAATCACAAAAAAAAACTGCAAAACCCAAGGAACAAATGCAGCCAAAGTCATGAAACTTTAGACACATTTAGGACATGCGATCAATGATTTTTTGAGTGAAAAAGATTGTCGCCTAGGTGCATTGTTTATTAATAATAGCGAAAAAAAGTACCGAAAATGAAATTTCACACAGGGGTTTCGTTTCACCTTAATTCCTACTATTCAATGTTCAATTAGGAACACAGATGGGGGCGGGGCGTAGGCCGCGCACCCTACTTGCACCGGTTCACATTTTCGCCACTCGACAGTAGCTGCTTGGGAGGGATAGGGCTCGCAACCTACTTACACAGGTTACTATCCCGCCCGATAGATAGACTATTCAAGTTCTTGACTTCTCAATAAATTATAAAAATGAAGGTCATTTTTCTGGATTTCATTGATTTTTCGAAATGGGTACATTGTTGGTGTTCTATCATAGGTACACTTTTTTTTCTTAACCAATTGAAATCGATAAACTTCATCATTAAAAACGAAAAAGAAAGAGGAACGATCATAATCAGGAGGACACTGAATATTTATTTAATGAAATAAATGAACGTATATTTGAATTGAAATCGAATTTAAAAAAACTACACCGTTATGGGAGATAAATTACTCTACAATGTAGATAATTGGAGCTTAAAAACAACTTTTATTTTCAAGACAATATTTCCCAAAGAACTGGTTGCCTCTAAAATTTAGTTTATAATGGGGATTCTTACTCTAAACATCTACCGACGCAGCGCCTTCTCATTCCTCCATACCACTTCAATAGGTTCTTTCTCACCACAATATACACACATATTCACTGATCCCACATATTCTTCAGAGAAACAAGATATTTTGCCCATGATTGAATTTTAGAAATTTATAGAGCTTCTAGGACTACTTGAAAATTTTTATTTCACGAGAATCTCATGATCCGGGATTTCACGAGAAATTCGAAAAAGTTCCTGACTCTGCTGAAAAAATGGAAAAAATCTGGCGCTTGTGAATACTGCGACGCAGAAGCATGCATAAAACCTAGAGCTTAGAAGAAAATTTACCCCATCCTTAAAGTAACGCATCCTTACGGTAAATTCAAAGATTATTGAAAACTGCAAAAAAATTTCAGAAAACTCGATTAGATTCGGAAATCTAATTTTTTTCTCAATTCAATTATCGTTTTGGTTTTTCAAAGAAGAAATGTTTAAAAATCAGGATTTAATCCAGTGTCTTATGTGAAAATCAACATTTCCACTGTAATTAAAGAAAAAA